GGGAGAGCTCAGTGGAAGCCCCCGCACCCAGACGGGCCCTGCGCCCAAGGCCAGCCACCTGTGTGGGTGCCTGTCCAGGGTAGGACGAGGTGGGGTAGGGTGGCGGGGGTGGCATCTGTTAGCACCACCCATCCCAAGAGAGCAAGCCAGATTGCTGTGAGGGGCCAAGAGTGAGGTGGGTGGCGAGGGAGAGAAGGGCCGCCACACAAGGGGTGAAGGAACTCAGGAGGGAGAAGGGTCACCAGGGACTGAGCCATCTCTTGCATGTCCAAGGGACCGGGGGGGGGGGTGTGTGTGTGCTGGGGGCGGGGNGGCTCTTACTGGTGGTGGGAGGAGACAGAGGTAAGAAGGCAGGCAGGAGGAGGCGGTTCAGTTTGCCCCCCCCCTTGCAGGCTTTGCAGGAAGAGGATGTTCAGTGGAGCTGGGCATCACGGCCATCACCTCACCTCCCCCCAGACTCAAATTCTTTCCTTCTTATGCCCCCCCTCCAGCAATAGACCAGAGCCCCATAGCTGGACACACATCTTCCTTGGCCTGATCAAATCTTCCTGAACGCCGGTCTTTGCAGCTGTGATGGGGGGAGGGGAAGGGGGCCCCTCCACTCTGCCTGCTCACCTGGAGCTTGTTCCACTGGATCCGGCCCACGCAGCGGGCTGCGTTGCGCCAGGCATGCTTGGCTCCGAAGATCAGCTCGGCCTCCTGCAGCTGGTAGGTGCCGGTTTCTGCAATCTGCTGCTCGACCTCCTGCAGGCGCTGCAGGTGGGCCTGGGACTCCGAGCTGCGGGGGGGGGGGGAAGGGGCGCTCGTTCAGTCCCGCCTCCTCCTGCTGGAGAAGATCTCCTGGGCACACTAACTGGAGCACCCGGCAGAGAACGCCCACAAAACAAGTGGCTTTTCTACCTGCAAAGGTGAGCAGGCAGGAAACCCCCCCCCACGTGGATGCTGCCAAGAGACCAACCCTCCTTGTGATGAAGAGGAGGGGGGGCAGAAGGACCAGCAGTTTCTTCTTCGGGTACAAGAGAGCGAGGCAGGGAAGGGTTTCCACCCCAGCCGTGCGCTTTGGCCCAAGGCCCTCCCCCCCGGGCGGCTCACCCTCTCCAGGAACCACCCCAGCCACCAGCAGAGATGGTGCGCAGAACCAGAGCGTGCCCAGCTGCCCGCCCAGGGGGTGGTGGGGGTATCTCTGCCTTTGCCTCCGCCCCCCCCCAAAGAACAGCCATGGGCTTCCTCCAGGTTGACAGGCCGAAGGAGCGGAAGCCTCTGGCGAGACCAGATTTACTTCTGAGTAAACCATGTAGCCCGACCTCGGCCCGGGGGGGGGACCTTTAGTGCTGTAAGATCAATCCCACCTCATTGTGGCAGGTCTCTGCTTCAGGGGAACTGGGGGGGGGGAAGAGGCCATGCCTGGAGGGGGGGTGCTAAGGGGCCCTCCAGGCTCACAGGCAGACAGAAGGAGGGCAGACCCCCCCTCCCGGCCCGCGGTGGCCCTTCCTGGGGGCTCTTCCACTTGGCGTTCATTTCGGAACAGCGGAAAGCCAGAACCTGCAATTCTCCCCCCCCCCGTGAATGTTCAGAGGAGGCCCCGGCGGGTCTTCCAAGCACTGCCCTGCACCTTTGCAGGCACAGACGAATGCGGGCGAGGGTGGGGTGTTTTTTTTAGGACCCCCCCTCCCGGCCCGCGGTGGCCCTTCCTGGGGGCTCTTCCACTTGGCGTTCATTTCGGAACAGCGGAAAGCCAGAACCTGCAATTCTCCCCCCCCCCGTGAATGTTCAGAGGAGGCCCCGGCGGGTCTTCCAAGCACTGCCCTGCACCTTTGCAGGCACAGACGAATGCGGGCGAGGGTGGGGTGTTTTTTTTAGTTTAGT